TTTGTCGATAAATAAAATTTTATATTAAAAATTTTTAACTGAATGAGAATTTTAATAAAAAAAGAAAATTTTAAAGAATAAGTATTAAATAGTAAAAGTAATACAATCTAAAATTTATGTTAATTTTAAAATATAAAAAATTATTATATATATTTTATCCTTATTGTGCCGCATCAAAAACACAAATAATAACATTCGATGTTTCATAATTTTTGCCTAAAAATTCTTAATTAAAAAAAAAAGAAAAAAACAAGGGCCAAGCCCACTCGCTTGGGCTTGGGTAAAAAAATTTGACTAATTTACTATTCCATCAAACTCTATAGCTTTTAGTGAAGTCGATTTCGTTGGAAAGTCGGATTTCTTAATTTTTGACCTTTAAAAACTAGATTTAGTTTTTTTTTTTTTTTTGAAAAAACCTTAAAATCACATAAATAACATAAATAAACCTTTTTAGACCTCAAAACTCATTTTAATGCAAAAAAAAAAAAAAATTCAAATCAAAATAAAAAATCAAAATATTTTCGAATTATGATCTACCTCACACCATTTCATGGCTTGCCACCATCACAAATAGATTTTACTCTTTGAGGCGAACAAAGTGATGGTAAGATTGACCGTCGGAGTGGTCGAAATAGGCTTCGTCGTTCCTCTCTCTCCTCTCTTCTCTTTTCTTCGTTTCTCTCTCCTTCAAGCATGTAAGGAAAAAATTGCACATTTTTGGTCAAACAATATAAGTACATAATGAATAAATAATGATTTTAAAGACAATCTATAATAAATTAGTAGAGAAATGAGAGATAGTGAATAGTGCATGAACAATGATTTTGTTTTAGTTTTAGTTGTTTTAGTAATAGTAATAAATTCACCTTTTTTTAGATTTTTATTTATTTATTTTTTTTGGTAAATAATGATCCTTTGCTTTTAACTTATTTGATATTTATATATCAACACTTATTAGAGTTTTTCACGTACATTCCTAGATATCATTATTCTCACTTTGATAGTTTTAATGGTTTCTTTGCAATACCTTAAAAAAATTTATTTACATATTCAATCCAATAAAATTCATGAAATAATTTTAAATAATTCAATAAAAAAATTAAATTGTAAATAAAAAAATACATAAATTCAAAAAAATATGAAACATGAAACATGAATATTTTTAAACTAAATTCTTATAATACAATAATGAATACCCAAATATGTACCAAAATTAATAAAAAAAAATAGATTCTGTTTTGGGTAACCATATAAAATTATCTCATTAATTAACACAACTTTAAATCATGTTAACTATTGCAATATCTAATCTCTATTAAAAGATTTAATTTTTCCTGAATATATTTCAAATTAATCATATATAGTTAATGATCATTTTAAATATTTTGAATTAATAAAAAAGTTTAGATTCTATTTTGGGTAACCATACAATTAAAGTTATCTCATTAACTAATACAATTTTAAATCATGTTAACTATTGCAATATCCACATTTTGAAATTCAAGAAACCAAATAAAAACATACTTATAATGTAAGGACCAAAACAGAAAAGTAAAAATAACTAAACTCACACACAATATATGCATTCCAAAAAAAAAAAAAAATGGTGCAGCAGAAACATCGTGGTTGAGCTTTAATTGCTTTGTCCAAGTAAGGAGTAACTTACAAAAAAGGGTAAAAAAAAAAATGAGAAGGGAAAAAGGAAAGTAAGGGTAAGAATGTAACATGACACTACCACCGAGTGGCGTAATTAATTAAAAAAATAATATAAGGGTGTTAAATTGACAATGGAGTTAAAGCTAGGTGCAAGAGAAAAAGAAAAATGGACTTTTGCAACAGTATTGAGAAACCAACGAAGGAGATAAACAAAACAGAGAAGGAACAACTCAAATGCATGGAGAAATGTAGCACAAGTAAGATTGAGTCTTGGTCTATAGTAAATTTAGTGTAGGTGAATAGTCTATGAATAGGAAAAACCCCACTTGTTTTTGTAATGCATCTTTTAAAACTTCATTTTGAATAAAAACAAATCATAAATTAGAAGGAAATGTTTCAAATTATGAATACTAGCTATTTGAGGCTATAATAGTTACTTCTTTATAGGAATTCTACAGATCATCTTTTGAATCCATTTCATAATCATTAGCTTAAATGACATGAAAGACAATTTTTTTTTTTTTTTAAGAATTGTTAAAATAATTTTCTCTTCTTCTTATAACATTAGGATTTTAGAACCCAAAGTGGTGAATGCATATGGAAGCTTGTTGGAAGGGCTTGGAATGTGTTCACATTGGATAATCGAAATTTTCGATAAATGTAGAACCATAGATCTATATTGAGCAAGTGAGGACTCTTTTAAGGAAAAAAAATCTTTGTTAGTTTATTGGGATTGAAATTATGCAGTTTAATACTAAAGGCCAAAATTGTCAAATTACAATAAAATAGAGGCAAAAAATACCATTAAACCAATTTTCCTAAACAATTTTCAACAATCATAGCTTTATTAGAATTAGGAGTCGCCCAACGCACCAACGCGTTGTCTACCATTTTACCTAAAAAAAAAAAAATAGTTGACATGTGTGGGCTTACTTCTCCAAGCCAAAGGGTCAAGCCTCGCACGCACATGCCCTATATATATATATATTTTTTATCTTTTTTTTATTTGATTTTGTGCTTGAATTTTAGAAAACTCATAATTATTTTTGAAGTTTTCCACAACCTAGGGAGGAAGAAATATCAATGACATGTTTTAATATTTTAGACATAACATATATTTCATGCTATATTATTCTTATTATTTCAACTTTATCCCTTTAATTTGTCATTTAAAAAAAATTCTCATCTAATTGAATTTTACTTGTCTTTTTTAATTAAATTTTATTTATTTATGAATATGTTTTATTTTTCTCTTTTTTTGAATTTTGAAACAAATTTTTATAAACTTGATTGTTTTCTTTTATTAAAGATATATAGTTTATTTAGTAGATGCTTATAATTTTTAAATGAGACTATCATGATTGACTATATATAAATATGTGTGTGTGTGTGTGTGTGTGATTAAAAAAATAGAAGTGTATTGTAGAATTGTTTTCTCAAGTTAAAAAATTTAATTGATAATTAAAAATAAGAAGTGAAAAAAAAAGAGAGAAAGTGATTGTTATAATTGCAAGGGTTGTGCACGAGGACCAAGCACATATGGTTTAGAAATAAAAATATTGGTTAAGAAAGAAACAAAATGAAATCTACATATTTTATCTACTTTTTCCTTAGATAATCAAAATTTATTGAAATTTTATAGAGGGTTTTAAACATTTACTTTTTTTTTTTAAATGGATATTTTGAAATCACCTACAAATAAAATAATTAAAATTATGTTAAAAAAAACATGCATTGATACCATACTTTTTAAATAGAGTTTTTAATGTTAACATCATTGACTTTTTTGGGAATATATATATATATATAACACCTAATGTATATATATATATATTTTTTTAAAAAATCTTCTCATCAATATTCAATAAGAATAAAATTTTATTTTAAATTTTGAAATTTTTATGCAATATTTTTTACATTAATTATTTTTTATTCAATATTATGAAAAAAGTTATTAAATTTGTAAATAATCTTATTTTTTTTATATTTTCCATTAATTGAAACTTGCTTTTTATAGCATTACAAATATTTATTAAGAATTCATGCATAAAGAAAAACAAATCCTATTTGTTTTTGCTTTTTTAAAGAAAAAAATCTATTAAAAAGAACATATGAAAAATTAATTAAGTACAAAATTTTGATTAAAAATCAAAAAGTTTGGTGGGAAAGAAAACTGTTTTCGATTTCGATATGTTTAGTTGGACCTATAGCATGATTCTTTCAAATAATTTTATATGTTCTATCGGATCTAGAGTATAGTAAGGGCAATTAACTAGTTATCTTCTAAACTTTAACACAATCAATATCTAATCTACCTATTCATTTAATACTGATTTTAAAACGTGCACAAAAAAAAAAAAAAAATCAAAAAGTTTACTTTAATCCCATAATTTTGAAAAACTATTTTTGTCCTTAAATTTATTTTCTTACAATTTAGTCCTTTGATTAGAAGTTATGATCCTCAAAAGTTTTTATAAAACACAATTTGATCCCTTTGTAACGAAGTTTGTGCAATCAAATCCTAGAATGTTAAATTTTTATTGAAAAAAAGTTAGCCAACATCAGCAGAGTAAAAAATAAATACTCAACTCTAAAGCGATATTAACAAATATGTATTCTTTTTATTTTTTTTCTTTTTATCAATTTATATCTTAATATCTATTTTATATTTTTAATGAGTATTTATTAAATTAGGTAGAACATATACTCACTTCATATCCAATCCATTGCTATCCCTGACCCAAGCTTGCCATCCCTGACACAGGCTTCTTTTAGTTGTCCAATTACTGAATGAATTGTCTTCTGCTGCTCCTACTTGCTTACATAGCATAGCAATGAAGGAGCCTTCCTAATCTGTACTTCTGTAGTACTGGCTTTATTTCTATCTGATATCGGTTTTGTATTTAAAAAAAAAAAAAAAGACGGTCAATGGCGGAGTTATGAATGACAAGCACAAATATGAAAATAAAAACTGTGAATAAATAAAGTGCACATTCCGTGTTCTGCTAACATTTCAACGTTAAGAGAACTAGGATTTCTGTAGAAATGTTTCCTGCACAATACAATCCACCTATCTTTTTCATATCCAACCTCCTCAAGCCTAAATGCAAAATAAGGAGGGGAAAAGGAAAGTAAAAAGCGGAAAAAAAATAATAAATTTGAAAGAATTGTAAAAGGGCATTTATATAGCCTACGGTACTACTAGGCTAACCCCTTTCACAAAATATACAATGCTATGACTGCAAAATTTGTCTCCTGTAATCGTTGTATCTTTTGAATTCTCAGGACGGTCAACCAAAGTTGTGACTGTCATTCATGTTCTTCATCGACTAACATCCTCATCATCATCTCATGTTGCAGCACTGAGGCCTTCCCTGCTTTTGTAATTTTTCCCAAAGGCAGATCATTTGCTTGGGGGACTGGTAATGAGCTGTGTAATAACCTTCAACGCATCCGAACTGACAGAACTTCAAGCTGTGCACATACTCCACAGGTCTTGAGCTATTGAACTGCTCTACCCACATTCCCATACTCACATCTTCCATCTTGAACAGCTGCAGAAAGTGGGGCAAGCGAGTCAGTTAAATGGAAGGAAAACTCAGAGAGAGGACAAGATAAAAGGCATGATCAAATTACTTACCCTTAATTTATGACTCTCAAACTCAGAAACAATGAACCGCACAATGTCAGAAGACAAAATGTAGCCCGGCCCATTTGCATAGGGTGGATAGTCTTCTTCTGGCCATTCCTGAAACCACCAACAAATGAGAAGAGATGGCAAGATAATCTTATTATTTGAACTCCTTCACAAATTCCTTGACATTAAATGAGTACGGCCTATGGAAAATATGCATGAAGATACATTAAACCAAGTAGAAAAAAGAAGTTCAGCAACAGATTAAAGAACACCACACCTGGTACCAATCTCTCAGATTCTTCTCTCACATACTAAATTACCTCCTAGCTCTAATTCATTGCATTCAACACACAAGACTTCTAGAATGAATGTGATGCTATGCGACCGAGCAACATTTAACAGTGGCCTCACACATAGAGATAAATATACTGATCGAAAGCAAACTTTAGCTCAGCACAAGATTGAACAATTAATAGGTTCAGTCATACCTCATATGTCACAGCCCATTTACCATATCGCAAGGGCTTATGGTAGTAATTTATGTTTCCTATGTACAAGCTCCTACCAGCAGGAACTTTATTTACTTCATCAATAATGGAATCCACTCTCACAAATGTATCATCATCACCCTTCATAATATATTTTGCACGCACAGTGCGGACCTGTAAACAACCAAAGCTGTTTTTTAAATAACTATACCCAGAAATAAGTTATAATTTAAATCTCGAAATAGCTCATTACACACCCCATATTCACAGATGGCAACAGTTTTCAACACCACAAGGTCATAGTTATCCATGTAAGGCACTATAACAACATCACCAAAAAATTCAGCCTCTTTCTTTAACTCCAAATTCACTTCTTTTCGAGCATGCTGTCCAAACATCAATTCAAGAAGATAAGTCACTCCAACTCAAAATCATTTTGTTAAGCAATAACAATCAAAACAGGAGATTCGACAACAGTATTCATTCACATACCAGTGCTACAAAGAAACGTGCTACCACATTTGAAGATTTAATAAGCCTATGCTGCATCCAAGACTTCCTCACTGCCATTCGCTCAGCAAAATGGTTACCTGCAGAAAGAACACCAATAAAAAGTTCCACTGACCCCACAGGAAGAGGTGGTGCTTTCCATCTGCTAGACATCTCTAGATGCCTTTGAGGAGAAAAGCTAGGGTGATTTGAGGGCAAAGAAGCAGCAAATACAGAGTGAACATCTATGTCCCCAGTAACAGTTAGCCCTGTTGCATCCTCAAGAGTAAATCCCTGTCAACATTAAAATGAAAAATTACAAAAACTCCAAGATCCACATCCATCATGAGATTAATAAGCTATAGGATGTTACTCACAGTTCGATAAGGAAAAGAAGTGACATGCCTCCCATCAACAATAACATGATAACCCTCCAAACCAGCACTTAGAGTTAAGACAAACAGCTTCTCCTCTGCAAAAGGATATGGCCAGTCAAAAGTCACCTTTTTTGTTCGACCTATTAGCCGGTTCAGCCACCAAGTTGCCTTGGACTCCTCAGATTTATCATCATCATCACGGATCCACTTCTCACACTTCAATTGGCCATCGACTGCAGTCAATTAAAGGAATTACTCAATTTGGAGGAAACACAACAAGAAATGGATGAACTCGCAGAATAAATTACTTAAATGTAGAGCTAAAATTTTATTTACAACAATTTCAATAAATGACTTGGAAAGGAGAGAGGCTATTGTTTGTTCTTAACCTACTATCTAAATATATATTTAGTATCAATAATCTAGTTCTTATGTGCAAACATAATATTAAGCAGATGAAACTTAAGTATCCTTCAAAAGAACCAAACTTCTTACCCATAAAAGTCTCATAAACAACAACCCAACTACTTACATTTACTAGTCTACAAAATCAGGAAGAACTATAGATTCCTCTAAGAAAGGAGCCCAAATAACACAAGTAATCACCAAAAGAAACACTATAGAATCAATAACTCACCAGTCTCCTCATCAGCCTTAGACCCCCATCCCTCGCAGCGCAAAGCAGCCCCCCACTGCATTCTATAACAGGTATTCTGCTCAATTATAGGCTTCATACTCCAATCCCCTTTCAACCTGGGATTAAAATGAAGAATTCTCGGTGGGTCCTCAGCATCCACAGTCTTCAATCCCTGCAGTTCTATTATAAACTGCGAAACCATCACCGTCTCGCCTGCCTCCTTCACCAAGGCAATCTGGGGGTCCTTCTCTGCATGTGCTGCTCTTGGCTTACCCACCACCGTTATATGTGACCCCAAAGTGAGCCCACAAGGCAACTCCACCACCTTCATTCGCTTCAAAAACTCCGACCCAGATAGCGAAACCATATTGGGACAGGGTTCGGATTTATTCTTAGGCTTTCTAACCTCCAAAACTTGAATTTTACCCGATTCCACTTCATCCCATGTCTTCAACCCCTCCTCCCAAGCAGTCTTTGCAGCTTTATGAAGGTCGACCGAGCCGTCTTTCTTAGTGGGATCAAACGTTTTGGGGTCAAAGACCAAAGTGGACAAGATTTTGATTGTTTTTGTGGTGGGGCGAGCGGGTTTAGAGTGAGTAGGCTGGGCAGAATTATGAGAAACCCAGTTAAGAGGTCGAGTGGGAGCATCTTTATCTTGCAAATCTTGTTCGCTTTGAAGGTGAGAGTAGCGAGTGAGGGTGGTGTTGGTTGTGGTTTCAGAGGTGAAACGAGAGTTGAAAACAAAAGGGATTTCAAGAGTGACAAGGAGCATGTAGAGAACAGCAACAGCAATCAGGATTTGAATGGATCTTTGCCTGCTTAGTGACACAAACGTGTCCAATTTGTCCAATTTGGCATCCGATTTGCCTCTCTTCATCTCCAAATTTGAAATAAAAATAAAATAAAACTGGGATTTGATCAGTTTGACAAGAGAAGAGAAGAGAAGCTAGGAAGTTATATATAAGAGAGAAAGAGAGAGAGAGAGAGAGAGAGAGAGAGAGAGATAATTATGTGATCAAAATCAACATCAAAACATCGTCATCATCAAACTTAGAGAAGAAACACGTCGATACACAAGAAGGGATAGGGTGGGTCGGTGGGTTTATTTTTTCAAATTCGGAGAGAAATGAAAGGAAAGAGTGCCGTAAACAAGAGTGATAGAGAAGAGAATTTTGCTATTTATTTACGGAATTTCATTGCTTTTTCAAATTCGAAAATGATACTTTTTCCGTTGATTACAAAAATGGAGTTTCTTTCTTTTGTTTTTATTTTTGGCAAATAGAGTACCGTTACAGCTTTATTTTCTTCCGGCTTCGTTGAGGGACGGTCATGGTTTTTTATGTTTTTTGTTTTGGCGTTTAGTTAGATTGGAGTATAAAAACGAAATGTAATTAATTATTTTAAAAGAATCGTATTTCAGTTATTAATTATTAAATTTATTTCGCTAACGCATGCGAGTCTGTATTTAGAGTAACTGGTATAAAAGAGTGATCGTCGGAGAGAATAATACTAGGGGAACTCTTAATAACAGTGAATTTATTAGATGAAGCATTGTAAATTAATAGTTGAGTGATGTCTAGATTGTATTTATAATTATTGAGTTTTTATAATAATAATGGAACTTTAGAATGACAATATTTTCAAACAATTTTAATTATAGAATTTCCTACGTTAATTTGTACATATCAAGAGTCTATTTGTTTTATAGAAAATATTTATTTTTTATTATTTTATAGTACGAAACAAACATCGAAAAATAAATGATCAATAGAAGATATTTTTCAATCAATCTCTTAATACTTTTTATTTGGAAGAAAATATTTTAACTTCTACAAGTAGAAAAAAATACTTTCTTAAGAAAAATACAATTTAAATGTCCAAATTTTGTTTTTTTTTTTCTATTTTAAGTATAAAATAAGTAAACTTTTTTATTTGAGTGCCTATCTTTTGATTTTTTATTTATTTTATATTTGAATGTCTACAATCAATTGAAATTAGGAAATATTAAAGTTTTTGAAATGAACTATCGCCGATAATTTTTAACAAACATGTGACAAAAAGTTGATCATATTTGGATTATTTCGGAAAAAAATTCAAATTTTATTTAAAGAAAATTACAATTTGAGTGTTTAATTTTTGTTATTTTTCTCGTTTGTGTTCAACATTTCAATTTCATTTTATTTTTTTTCTATTTGAGCTCTTTCGAGTCACTTTAGATTAAAAAATATTGATGTGGTTGGGATTCAAAACTTATACGTCACAATCTTTAACTTACACATGACAAAAAAGTGGGTTCATTTGGATTGATTGAGAAAAAAATATAAAACTATTATAAAAAAAAATAGCTTGAAATAATTAAAAAAAAATCAAAATCAATTATTTTTTAAGAATGAACTCGGCAAGTTTGTCGATCAATTTTTTAAAACACTTTCAAAATATCATCATCTAAACATTTCCATTGCCTAATCAAAAACATTTAATCTTGGATCTTCTAAACAATTTGAGTTCATTCGACTAATAGTAATTTAATTTAATTTATTTTTTCCTCAATAAACGAGTTCGACCTATTTTTTTGACATGTATCAATTAAAAACTATCGTGTGTTAATGAATCCCGACCACAACAGTATTTTTCCGTCTTAGGTGATTGAAAAAAAAAAAAACTCAAATAGAAAAAAAATCAAAATTTGGGGACTCAAATAGAAAAATAATTAAATGTTAGACACTCAAATTGTATTTTTTTCCTAAATAATCCTAGTGGAACTCATTTTTTATCATATGTCGGTTAAAAGCTGTGATGTGCGATTCATTCTAGACACATCGGCATTTTTCAATCTTAGGTGATTATGAAAACTCAAAGAGGAAAAAAAATAAAAATCAAAACATAGGTACTCAAATAGAAAGATTTATCGATTGGGCACTTAAATAGGAAAAAAAATATTGAACATTTAAATCGTAGTTTTCTCTATTATTCTTGATACTAGCAACTTATAATATTCAACGAGCATTATAACTTAACCGCTTCAACAACCACTACTAACACCACCAACACCACCACCCTACCATTACTAACCATCACCATCAATATCATTACAACAACCATTTTATTACTAATGTAACCATCATATTATTGTTATCTCATCATAACCATCTGACACCACCACCACCTCCTCACCACCATAACAATTACGACCAACACCACCACTACCTCATCACCACTACCATAATTAGCACCACCACCAATTGTCATCACAACTTGGCTACCTATGTAACAACTATTTTATCATTATTTTTCAATCTCAAGCAATTATGAAAATGTAAATAGAAAAAAAAATCAAAACTTAGGCACTCAAATAGAAAGATTTATGTAATAACATGTCCTAAAAATAATATTTAAGATTAAAAAAATAGGCTAGGTGTGAAAGGGGACAACAGCTTGTCCCTCCTCTTTTTTTTTTTCTTTTCTCTTCTCTCTCATGCAGCTTTCTCTCTAATTTTCTTCCAATTCTCTCTTTTAAATCCTAAGCTAAAATCTTATTAGATTAACTAAGAAAAACCATAAACAAGTAGATTTAAGTGAGCTTAACTAGAATAAAGCTTGGAAAGCTTAGAGAGTAGGATTGAATTGGGGATTGAAGAGCAAATTATCAAAGGTAAGAAATTTCATCATTTGGTTTTTAAATTGAAATGTATATATGTAGTTATTGATAGTTTTGAATTTAGAGTGTATTGAGTTTGTCGTTTGAATGAAGAATTGAGTTAGATTGAGGTTAGGTTTTTGAGATCAATTTGAGAAAAAGTTGATTAAGTGATTCTAATTGATTAAATGATGTTTAATTACTTTGGATAAGTGATTTATGAAGTTAATTTGAATTGGAATGGAGTAAATTTGATTAATGGAGAGGTTGAAGATGATGAATCGTGGAAAATCCAAAATTGGGTTTTGAATTGAAAATAATTTGAGGAAAATAAAAAATTAAGTTATATGAATGCAATTAAAATTGAATGGAATGAGTATTGATTGAATTGGAATGAAATTAATGATTTAATTAAAAATTGATTGTTTAAAGGTTTGAATTGAATTTGAGAAAAGTTAATATGTATGAAGATTAATTGAATTTGAGGATTGATAATGGGATATAGTTAGACAATTGTTTAGAATTATTGGAGAGATTTTAGAGTTTAGCTAAAGTCATCATTTTGAGTCTTTTGATCAATTTTATTTGTAAAGATAATCTTGTGTTCCTATTTCTAGAATAATTCAATTATTTTTATGTATTGTTTGATATATGATATTGATGGTTGTTCCATCATCACGTGTTATTAGATTCTTTAGAGTGGGTGACTCTATCTTAGTAACCTTGATTCAATTCGATCCTTTGTTTGTATGGTGAGCGAATACTATATAGTATATTATGCTTTTTAAATTTCTTTGATTATGTCTATCATGCATCATTAGTTTAAGTACAATTTAATTGCATTCCTTAGAACTTAGATGAAAACGGACCCTATGTATATTTGAACTAATTTCGTATAAAAAATAGTTCGAATGGATTGGTATGATTTTAAAAGAGATTTGAGTATATGTTTGAGCAAATGTTTTATTTGGTTTGATATGTGATTATGAATTTGAATACAAATTTACTTGAAATTGTTATTTTGATTATCGTTATAATTTTTGTAAATATTTGTTTGATATGAGATTGTATCATTAAATATGATTTAAGCATGCATTATTTTTTATATACTATATTTAAATATGTATAAAGCTTATACAATTTTTGAAATGTTTTCGTTACCTTAAAGAACCTAGCTATGAAGGGCATAACCTTTGAGCTCAATGATATGAGGCTTTAGCTAATAGGAGAGGTAGAATGCTAGCTCATATGACGACTAACGTATGGAAACCTAGTCACGGAGGGTGTGACCTTTGGGTGTTCACATCCAATGATATGTTATATTCATCCTAAGGGTAGATAAAATCTAGTTATGTGGTTTGATTTGATTATAATACACACACACACACACACACGTTTCGATGATTTGATATGAATTAGTTCTAAACCAATTAAGTTACAATATACGATTTGATTTTATGATATGCATTTGTTTTGGAGAAACTAACCCTCTGTTTGGACAGGGGTAGAAAATGGGGGAGAGGAAAGAAAATAGGGAGGAAAGAAAAGGTTTCCTCCGTTTGGCTTGCGGAAGAAAGCTGGGGAAAGAAAAAAAAATTAAACAAGGCTAAAAAAGGTGGGACCCATTTTCCTCCCAAAATTGGGAGGAAATGGGGAGAAAAACGGAAGGAAACTCATTTACTCATTGTTCTTCCAGTTTCACCCTTGGTAGCCATCCCTTCTCTTCCTCTTCCTCGCACTCTCTCGCTCTCGCTTACCAATAGCCATCATAGAACTTCGCAAATCCACTCCTTCTCTCCTTCTCTCTCGCAAAACGGAAGGAAACTCATGTTCCGCCCTTGCTCGCCGTTCCCTGCTATTGCTCGGCCATCGCGCCTCTGCCTCGATTAATCATATGATATTTCCACCGTGTGCCCGATCCTAATGACGAGGATCCGAAGATTGCGAGTGCCAAAAACATTAATTAACGAAGCAAAAGAAAGTCTTCGGTCTCGGATTCATCATCTTTTTTCTCGACGAATCTATTTCAATTTCTTTCGAAATTCTAATAAAAAAAACTACCATTAAATAATTAAGAACACGTGATAAATAAATATTTCTCTCCTGTTTCCCGAGTGCCACTTCACTCGTCAAAAACATTGAAATCGAGAAAATATTAAGACATCCGCACCCTTTTTGATTTCTTCCTCTAAACAAACGAGATAAAATTTCAATCCCCGTAATCATTGTTCCCCAAATGG